ACCCCTAAAATTCTATGATTCTATGAAATTGAGCTCTTTTTGTGAGGTGTGTAAAGAACCTATACCAGGTCATCCTTGGATATCCTGAATTGTGTTTGTTTTTCTGCTTTGCAGTCTAAAAGTAGAGTAAATTTTGTAAATCTGTCTTCTGGTTTTCTTTTGTTAGAAACTTGATGGAACAGTTAAAGAAAAGGATGCAGAACTGCAGGAGCTCCTTGATAAGTACAAGAACCTTCTGAGAGCTAATGAAGAACTTGAACTGAAAAATGAGGGATTAGTCAAGGAAAAATGTGCTGCCGAATCCCAGCAGTCAATCATCAAGATAGTCAGAGAGTTAGAGGTGAGTTTGTCATTTGCAGATAAGTACCTTGACTTCAGATTGAAGAGAATTTTAACTTTGGCTTCAAAGCTGTGGGCTCATATGTGTGGTAATTCACCATGTGTAGCACTCTGATGAATTTATGTGGCATCACTAAACTCTGGACTCTCAGAAAGTGTGTAAAATGTTTTGCCTGCCATAAAAAGGTAGAGCTTTTTGTCATGGGGGAAGAGCTGTTCCCCTAAGTGGAGGATATCTGTGTTTCTGAAGAGAGGAGCAGAGGAGAGTTTGTGTACTTCTGAGGGATAAGGGGAAAGATTGCACTGACCACAGGAGATAAATGGAGTGTGAGGATAAATCCAGGTAGGAGTGAAGATATGTTTAGGGCAAGAAGAAAACTAAAGTAAAGAAGAAATAGTACAGAAATATATATATATAATATATGTGCATTATTTGATTTGATGCCATAAATTGAAAAGACTTGTTAGTACCCGAAATCAGAGGTCAGAATTCAAAGTCTTAAAAGGTACAGTTAGTTCCTTCCCCTTTCACCCCCAATTTCTGTTCTGGCAAAAAAAGAAGTCAGCTGCTGTTTAATTTTTGACTCACTTACTGACTCCATCAGTGCATTATTATTGCCAGGGCACCAGGGAGGGAATATCCCAGTGTATATGAATAGACAGAGAAAACAGAGTCTGGGAAAGGGTGAGTAGAAATTCCACCTCTGTAAAATAAACTTCAGTGCATGCACATAACTTGTCACAAAGGGAGCTGAAAGTGATGGAAAATCATAGAGAATTAATGAAAATCAAACACTAACTTCCCTCTGTACACCTCACTCTCAGTTCAGGTGTGTAACCAGGGCAGAGAGCAGTGGCAGGCAAAGCTGTGCATGGTAATCACCCCGAGATCACCTTCTAATCACAATCCATTCTCTGCTGCTGGTGCACAGAGTGACTGTGAACAATAGCTAATCACAGCCCATTGTCCTCTCAGCTTAACCTCTGTGTCACATATCTCCTGTAAGAACTCACTTTGGCATATTAATCATCAGTTTTTGGACGCAGATTATCCTGAGCTCTGCTCTCATTGGCTGCCTGGGCCTCTTGGATGGCTTTACAGTGCTGCACCAACTCTCAACAAACCCACAAACCCACAGCTGGAGCCTCCCCAGCAGAGAGAAGAGAAACCAAACCCTTCCAGCCTCACTCATCATTAAAGTTGAAATCAAATCGAGAGATGCAGGACTTTCTCTTTTTCTTCATAGCTTTGTACTTTATTTTAGTGTAATGCTAAACTGTAAAGCAAACAACATCCAGATCTCTGCTGGGTGCTTTGGCCAGGCCAGGGAACATAGATGACAGCTTCTAATTTTGGAGTTTGGATCCTTGAGCCACTGCCATGGGCTACAGAGAGTGTGAGAGGGCAGTGATAATTAGGGGGGTCAGGCAACTGCTCAGTGGTGTCTGTGAAGTCTTGGAGTTAAATATGTTTAGAAGAAATGACCCAGTTGTGGTAGTGATGGATGGATCAGTGAGGAGGTGTAGGTTATGGCCTTCTCTCAGTCATTCACCCTCTTAACCTTCAGAGATTTTGTACTAATCCTGAGGGTTGTTGGAATCAAGAGAGTATTCACAGCGAGGCAACTGGATATTTGTGTAATTTTGCCAATGAGCTATGTATTGTGGAGGTATAAACCTTTTCCTTGCATTGCTTACAATTTGAGAAACCTTTAATGAAAATAAGTTATGTTTTCCACCACTGCTGCTTAGCAATAATATTTCAGACTTAAATATAGACTTTTAATGTATTGGATTGCCTCCTTTCATGGGCATATAAATCTTTCACTGCAATATGGTCCTGGATGTCTTGCAGCTATCTCCTCTAACAGATTTTCCCTCACACCATGTGTCAAGAGGTTTAATGTTTCATTAACTCCCACAGCATTACAGGCTATTTAAGTTACAGAGCTGCCTTATGTTTTGTGTACCGTCGGGGAGTTGATTGAAATAATTCACTCCTACATGTTATTTAGAAATGACAGTAATAATGTACAGGAAAAAAAAATGATGTTCCTGCTGTATCTTCTCATCCTTATTATTCATGAAAGATTCTGAAAAATCAGGAACACTTCTTCATGCCTTTGCTAACCTTTACCCAGCTAGTTGAATTTAGAAGTTAATAATTTGTGTATAGTCTGTGACATTTGGAATTTAGAAACAGCTCATGTCTCCTGTTAGGCAGAAGAGGAGTTGGGAGGATTTCACGAGCTTACTGAGATTTTGGTACAAATGTAGAGCTAAATTACCGTGTGAATTCTGCAGGGAGCACAGGAACTGGAGCAGGGTGGTGTGTAACACTGCTCTGTTCACACAGCAGTCACAGCCCCTGAACAATCAGTGACAACCATTAGCTAATTTGTGCACGGTAACTCTGCAGACTGACACGACTTTGCCACTGCTTCAGAAAGAGCTTTTAATTAGGATGTGGTTCTGTAGTGACTTCAGTAATAATTGCAAGGCTTGTATCAGACATATGGAAGAGTTCACTAGAACTTTTAACAGACTGTGAGCCAACTAAATTAAGTCAAAAGATTTCTTTTTTTCCCTGTTGCTTTCGACGTCATTGATCAGTGTTTGTGATCAAACTCTCCCGAGTTAAATGGCAACCTGTGTATTTTATGTTTAGTGGCTGTTCCTGAAAGGCTGAGATTCCAGCACATTGCTAGGCTCCTTAATTCAGGCTGCAGGATGTGCTTTTTAGCACATTCTTTCATGAGATGTTTTTTGCTGATGGCCTCTGGATCAACCACCTTCCTCCTTGTGAGGAACTGCAATGATAGGAAAAGGGGTAATGGATTCAAACTGAAGGAGAGGAAGTTTAGGTTAGATATTAGGAAAAAGTTTTTTACTCTAAGGGTGGTGAGACACTGTCCCAGGGTGCCCAGGGAGGCTGTGGCTGCCCCAGCCCTGGCAGTGTTCACAGCCAGGTTGGATGAGCCTTGAGCAACCTGATCTAGTGAGGATTTGTCTCTGCCCAGGGCAGGGGTTGGGACTAGTTGATCTGTAAGGTCCATTCCAACCCCTTAAATTCGATGATTCTATGATCTGTTTCCCTTTGTGTAACTCAGCAGAGCTATTGCTCTGAGCTCCTCTGCTCATCTAGATAACAAACCCAATATGAAGCTCAGTATTTTGCCCTTCAGTGCAGAATAGTATGCAATGTATAATTGCACTAGAACCTGGCAACATTTTGGAGCATACAGCTGAAGATGTGTCTGCAGGCAAGGTCACTCCCTCAGAGCCTCTGTGGTCTGGGTGGTGGAAGCTGCAGTGTGACCTGCCTGGCAGGTGACCTTACCACGAGTCATTTCACCCAAACTTGATTACACTTGCAGAATATTATTTAACATATTTTCTAGCATACTGTGAAGTAAGAGTGTAAAGAATTAAAAGTAAACACCAGTTGTCCTTGCTTTTGTGCTGTTTGCTTTGCAAAACTCTGATTTATTTTTTTTTCACATTTGCAGCCTTTGCATCGTTAGTGTGAATTAACGAGATACAACTGTAACTGATTTTTTTTTTATTTTATTGCATTTCCTTCCTTAGGAGTTGCAATTGGAATAATAACAGTTGCTTAAAAGTCCCGGGTGTAGGTTTCTTCCTTGTTAATGCTCTGTTCACTAATGATTTATTATCTCTTAAGGGTTCCCTTAGCTGAGATTCTCCCTTAGCTGTGGCACCTTTTTTGTTCCTCCTTTCAGTTTTCAGGTGGAAAAGAAAACAGGGAAGCACCAAGGCTGTTCTCAAACAGAGGTGGAATTTGTGCCTGACGTTAATGCATCTAAATTTGCTGCAGATACCCCAGTTATTTTCTCTGCTGAGGCAGCTGATATCTTAGATACTTTTATGTAATAAGTGCAAGCAAATACTCCTTT